ATGTATGAATAGCCCTACTTTTGCTGAATAAAATGATATATTTTTTATCGTAATTTATTTAAAGAGAAGTTGAGAAAAAGTCATATCAAAATTCGTGACCTACATTGCTGATCATTTCCCGATTCCAAACTTTTGTCCGGTGAGTGTATTTGAACAATAAATATTCACGCTCAGCTTCATCGATTCAACTATAAATTTGCTAAAAGTGCCCATGCTGTACCTTCACTTCAGAAGATACAAAAAATTGAAACTACTATCGCTTAGAACTTGATGAAATTAGTCGGACATGGATGAGTCTAGAAATCTTTAAATAATGACAAGAGATTGTAAAGGTTATGACCATTTAACATTAGTCAATATAAATCATTAAATGAGTTATGGTGCAATTTTTATTCAAGAAGCAGAGGTACTTTGATTTGTAATAGGTTCATGTGTTGTTTATCTTCAAACTCTTTTCTATATAAAAAATGCCATTTATTAAAATAATAATTTCCCATGTTCGATATGAAAATAATCATACTTGTAAATGAATACATAAAGCAATATTTTTATTCAAAATTAACATATATGAATATATAGTATAAAGAATAATTCAATATATAAAATAATTATTCCAAGAATGATACAACCAAAAAAGTTGAGTAATAAGTCTTTAGAACAAGCTATTCGATCTGTATGATATTGGAATGTCCCATATTTTTCAATACATAAATCCTACCTAATAAACAACGCAAAATTTTGCGTTCCATTTTTAAAAATAGTATTTTATTCCTTTTAAGAATTCTTCTCATTGAATTCCTTTATATTATTATTACATCAAGTTTGAATCCGATATATTTCATCTACTTATTTGAAAATCGCCTGTTGCAGGTAATTCAGAGATCCACTTCTTGACATCTCTAAAGTTTTCAGCAGACTTAGCTTCCTCGTCTATATTATGAATCAAACATTAATTAATACAAGACAAAGATTAGAAAAATATTTAAAATCTTTCCGACGTAACTTACCGTTACTGTTTGATTTCGATTTCCCATCTAGGCTTAACTGATGGAGTTCATCTTCTTTAACGAAATTTTTGGAGTTCGTAGGATTCTCAAATCGTTCTATCAGTTCTTCCATAGCGGCGTTTCCATTGTAAATAATAGTAACATTCTGTCCCCAAAAATCAGCATTTTGGAATTCCCTGTAGGTCGCAATTTGTACTTTTCTTTGACTAGATGCAGATATTCGATTAGGTTTTTCATTTTTCATTTTATCTTTCTTGGGTAAATTTTTATATTTTTCAACTTTTTTGTGAAGTCTTTCCCATGCTTCCTCGCGACTGCTTGAGCTTGATTGCCAGTTATCAATAGATTTATGACGAGTTTTAGGAATTTTTTGTTTTATTTGTGGCATTTTTATTAAATTATTTAGCGTTGTAGACTGAGAAGGCAAGACGCTTGCTATATATATATAAATATATTGTCACATTAACACGTCAACTTTTATAATGACTACATGCGAGTACGTGTACGTATATTGGGCACGCACGTAATGATAATAACTCTATTATAAATCCTTTACAAATTTAAATCTTTTAAGCAATTGCACAATAAGCAACTATAGCCTTGAAATTTTAAATTTTTAAATCACAAACAGCCGCTTTTTCTTAGTTTTTACAAATCGTTTAATTCACTTAATGGTTGACACTGTTTACTTAATTCACCCCTGTTTTGTGACATGCGATTTATCTAGTTTTTAATATACATGTATAAGGCATCTTGAACGAAATTTTAACAAGGCGTCATAAAAGAGTATAGTTATCGATATATTACTTTACATACTTTATATACTCCGGGTTGCATTCTCTTCGGAGGCAACGTCCACTTTTGCTGTTTTTCGCATTGCTCTCACTCTTAATAAATTTTGACGCATTATGTCTTGAAATAGATTACAAATAAGAGAATATTCTAATCGAACATTGACAACACATTCATGAATTCCGAATATTGAATGCTAGAATCGTTAATAAGAAAACGTGCAGAGAAAATGGCTATTCTTTCGCCACCGCTATCATTCTATTCATGCTTGCCTTCTGACTAAAGGCATTAATACAAAATCATTCGTAAACCATTTACGCATTGATAATTATCAATAGAGATGGCTGATCCTACATGTATTTCCAGGGTGCAATCATGATGCGCTATACTGACGTCCACTGTATCTATTTTACTGACGTTAGACTATAAGTTAAGGTAGCGCTGTCGTTATTGGTGTCGGTTTTTAAGAATTTGTGAGGGGAATTTGATAGGCAATTTGGGAATTGGAATTGTGGATTGTGATTTTTGCAAACGATTTTATTTTATTTAATATACCAAATGCTTTTTCTAACCAAAAAGCCTTAAACTCTATCTTATCGAATTCAAGCAATTACAATCCCTTTTCTGGATTAAAGGATCTGATTACAGCCATTATCACGAAGAGTTTCCTGCCTAATTTAAATTGAATTACCTTTATTTCTTGATTAAAAGTGGATGTGGATTTTTGTTTATAGTTTTGTGAATGATTATTGAATTATTATTGAACTTTATCTTTGTGGACATTTCATCACATTTATTATACTGAACTCTAAGTTTGAGCATTGAGTTATTATTGTTGGTCCTTTATTTTAGCTAGTAATCGAATTGATTAGTAATATTTGTTAAAAGTTTTTTTTTGTAAAAGAATATTTACTTTACCTCTTGAACATACAGTAACAATATCGTTGCATAGATCATTAATGAAACCCATTTATTGAAACACTTCGATTTCACAATAAAAAAATAGCGGACAAAATAATAGAAGTTTCGTAGTTAAGAACATACAGTGGTATCCCCCCTAACTTTTCGTAGATCATGTATAATGCACCAAATTTTTAGCGAGCACAAAGAACATTACAAATGCTGATCATGATACGGTAGAACTTCTATATCAGGTATTGTATGTTCATAAATTTTCACGTCCCAAATATAATCAGTTAAATTTTTGACGTCCAGTAATCCGATTTGAACAAAAATAATACTGTTTGATTCGTCTTGACTAGTCGAATCAAATGGTCGTATTTTTGTTCAAATCGGGTCACTGGACGTCGAAATATTGCGTCTTAAAGTAGCAGATTAATTTTGTGATCAATTTCTAATGAAAAATTGATCGAATCGTCCACTTTATTTCGATGTCTATTGGTCCAATTTGAGTGAAAATACCACCATTCGATTTGCCTCGATTAGGCAAATTATATGGTATTATTTCTCACTCAAATTGGATTACTAGACGTCGAGATATTTTGTCTTAATGTGACCGATTTACTGTATTTGGGCATGAAAGTTTATGAACTTACAATACCAATATAGAAAGAAGCTCTACCAATCTATAAAAGATATCATATGATGATCAGCATTTGTAATGTTCTTTGTGCTCAGAAAAATTTGGTGCATTACACATGATCTATGGAAAGTTAGAAGGGGTCGGATACTTTTGCGGTTGACTGTAGCTACTGTTAACATCGCGCTTCGCAGAAGCTGTAAAACATCTCTTAATGTGGTTATCCCTAGTAAATGAAGACACAAATGTGTTTTCTATATATCAATTTCTGAGCGTGTGGTGTAACGTTTTATTTTTCGCCCTTTAGTCTTTTGATTGTTAGTGTTTGTTAAGCTTTTGCTTTCTCTTTGAAGAAACGTTTGGTAGGTATATGTACAATATTATTGTATCTCAACTTTGTTGCTTAAAGTAATAATTCTTTTGTTTCTCCACTGAGTAATGGGAAATAGAACACAACAACTGGTCAAAAGTGAAAGATCACAATGAATCCGAAGAGATGTTCTGTAAACAATACAATCGTTTATCAGAATTTGAAAAAGGTCGTGGTTGACTTAAGTGGTCAGTCGCAGAGCTTAAAATCACGGAACCAGAGGAAAATAAAGAAAACAAGAAGAATATATCAAAATATTCATATATATTAATAACATTAGCATTAATGCTAATGTTGCAAAGCTAAATTTTTGTTGTTTGCTATTGACTATAAAAAATTACAATTTTCAACGAATTAGTGCATTTTTTTTCTACTATCATTATTACGATGCTAACAAATAAAATTACAAAATGCTTCTCTAATAAATCTTTTCTATTTTTTCTTTTTTTTTTTTTAATTTTCTGGAATTCTTTTCCATAAATCCAAGAACACCTGCCAACTTAAAAACTCTGCAGTACCCGGCGAACATCTCTTCAATATTGCTGCTCCTAAGTTAGCGCGCAATAAATTTTTTTCCCATTCTGTAACTGAATCACCATTCTCTATGCGACGTATTATCGAAGCGGATTCCACTATTAAAGAATGTTTCGGATATCCAGCGTAAAATAGTTCAAAGGTCTCCAAGGAAGGAAGTAAATGAGATGTGTGTCTCGAGTATCTTGAAGAAACTTTCGTGGTTCGTGGAGTTGATGGGGTAGATGGAATCAAAGTTTTCTGATCATCATTTCTGTCGTCACCGTTTTTCTCTTTTTCTTTATTGGATTTCTTGAATTTCAAAAAAAAGGAGGTTGGTAGTCGTTGCTTCTTTGAACTTGATTTATTATTGATTTTTTTCGAAGTATTTTTTTTAGACTTTATGTGTAGGCTTGCTACTATTTTATTTATCATTTTCCGGGAAAATTGCTTGCAACAACATTCCTGTTTTCTGGTCGTTGATGTCATTTGGTCTTGCATTTCTAAATTATTATTAAACAGAAAAAAAAAAGGAAAGAATAAAAGAAATATTCTGCCGACCTGCGGAAATATAACAAAAAGATATTAGTATGAGAGGAACGTAGATAATATCTTTATATATGAGTTTATCGTTCAAAGAAACAACGTGAAACTCAATAGAAGAAAAAGAAAAAAAGGTTAAGATACGAACTGAGAGGAACTAATTACATGTAAAATGTTGTCTGCATTTTTGTGTGACAAAACATTTTGATCCATGCACATGTGCATGTCTAACATCGGCCGCGGATTGTATTGGTGCATATTCTAACGATAAAATTATCGTTGTGTTTTCGTGCATAGTATTGTTTGTTATTTGTTTCATTGAGTGCACACCAGAAAGTAAAACAATAAAATGTTTAGCATTAGATTTGATGTAGATAGGCATGATTTGATTCATCTTCTAATTGCGTTTCGTTACCGTTACATTGTTATTCACATTAAATTTCGTTGTTGATCATTTCTAAAGTTATCTTCAGAATAAGCAATGTATCATCTTCAACTTTTTTTTCCATTTAAAGTTTTATTAGCCGTCGAAGATGACATTTTTTTAAATAATGATAACTAATAAATTTAATTAGTAATGCGACTAAGATTACATAATTTATAATAAGATTTAGGATGACTAATACTAAAGAATGTTTTAAATCTCGCTAAGAAAATAAATTATTCGATTTCGAGTCTAATTCCTTTCGGCAAAATACGATAGAGAAGCCTTATAAGCTTTTTTTGCTACGAGTTAAAATATTTTATTATAACAATATTTCATTTTTTTGCTATTGTAATGTTCATCAGACACACACGCCTTTAGATGCACATTATTGAACTAGTCCCATGATGGGGTATTGGCTTATTCCACACTCTGTAAATAGCATGTACACGGAGTTTCTACTAAGCTGCATGAAGTTACGTGGTCATAATAATTTTGGCCGGAATCAAAATTACGCGTCGCGAAAAACCTTGGACAATAAATAAAATTTTAAAAAGAATCTTCCTTGCTCAGCACAACTTTCTCTTGGCACATGCCATATTCCTTTTCAGTGCATGTCTTATGTTACATTATTTAATCATTATCTTTATTTCTCCATCCCGAATGAATGAAATTTCGGGCGAATAACATCCCGGATGATCAAAATTCCATGAATTTGAAATTACGAACGAGATACCGAATGAACGAAATCCCGAAAGCGTGATGATTTGGGTATTCCGTGCATTTATGATGCATACTTCGTGCATTCGAGACGCTCGTTCTTTTGTGGATTTCCAATTTATTATAAGGAAATTGATATATGATAATAAGTATCACTAATCATTTATAATAATATTGTTAATGCTATAGAATAGGTTAGGATAAAGTTAAGACCACCAATTTTCGAAATGCTCATTCCACTAAATGCACAAAATCAGGGTGTGCAATTGAATACAGTATATTGCTTACAAAGTAAAATTATATCAACAAGCCTTTAACATATTATAAATTTTTATCAACAAGATATAAAATCAAGCGAGTCCTCGCTAAATATTCGGCATTTTGGATGTCAAAGTCGTAATTTTCAAATTTGCATTTCTTTTAGCGATGGCTTGCTCTTTAGAAAACCTTTTAGTTGTCATTTTTTTTTCTCTGATGAGAACAACAAAATGAAGTAGTGGTGTAAACTTATTGTGATGATGACGTGTTTATAATTTGTATGTAAACAAAAGTGAATCATAGACATGTAAAATTAGTCTGCAAGTGTTTAAGCATTTCATTCTGTTAAGATAAAATATTTCAACCATTATTTCGACATTCTATTGTAAATTTCTCCTATAATACATGTGTATGTACACGGACGTGGACATTGGACATTGATCAATAATAAAACTTAATTTAAAAAATAATACATACCTAAAAATCATATCGACTAAAATACATTTGATATGTTGGTACATGTATGTATTTCTTTTCTAGTTACATGAACAGAGATTTGGCAAACCCAATTCGTTGATTATCGAAATCGAAAATAGTATACCAGTTTTGGATGAACGTGGACCCGAGATACGCCTAAATTGGAATATGGTAATTAACGATAGAATAATCATGAGCAAAAATGAACCGAAATAATAAAACTTACACAATTCCCTTGCTGTGGTGAAAGCAACGACCAACTATATCCATCCTCACAATTATTAACACCATCACCATAGTCTTCATCACGAACAAAATCACGTAGAGGAATCCGAAAGACTCTTCCACCTCCAAATACAAACCCAATATCGCCCTTGATCATCGAGGTTTCACTAATACTGCCACAAAATAACTTCCAAAATCCATTATTCTCTCGCAATGCGCCCCGAATGTTTGCATGTATTCTATCGACGAAAGATTGTGGTAGATCTAATCCAATATTGCCGGAATCAATGAAAGCTTCCATTTTGCATTTGATTGTTCTATTTCCGATACAGATCGCTTCTAAATGGATCTTCCAATCGCCGGAGTTATTTGGAATTATTGGAAAATACGAGATTTTTCCGGTGTATCGTTCGTGATTAATTTTCCCGAATAAGATTTCACCTGATAATGATGTTGTGCCCTTTCCATACCAAATACTGAAAAGCTGATGCTGAATCAGTTGTTGATACTTCATATTTTCAAGTAGACTTCTATAATCTAAGTATTTAAAGTAAATGTATTAACGATGCATATGTAAATATAAAAAAAAATTATTTTATACTCACGTTTTTTTGTATAAATATTTCCATATCCTAATCCACATACGCCATCAATAGGTTCTTTATCAAAGGTACCGTTAATATCAATAGCAAGCGAAAAAACTTGATTCTTTATCTTTACATCTTCACCAATGGTAACTGTCTCCCTTGCCAAATAACCATTGGCGCTGTCGTTGTCAGCATAAGTTATGTTCCACGGAATGCCAATTTTCCTGAAACTTCGCGATTTTCGAGGATCAAAAGTCGTGTGCGTGGTGTTACAAGATCGGTGCGATACCCATAGTGGTGTGGATCCCGTATCAAACTGTGTACAATAAATGCGTGCAAAAATTATGAATGTTTCATTTGTCAAAATTAATGAGTTGACAAATCGATTCTCACCAATACGTTAAATTCTTGCCCAGGTTCACCGATTTGTATTTTCGAATGGAACTTTGGGTAGCAAGTTTCATCTTAGCCAAAGATAAAACAAAAGTCTGGAACGGATAAAATTACCTCACCACCGTAGAAGCTCGCATTTTCTTTTAATTTGGCAAGATTCCGTCTATGAAGCTTAATATTATGTCGATTTCGCGTCAATGGTAATCTTGTAAGAGCAAGTTGAAATTTTAATATTGTAAGTGATGAATTGCAGTAGCTGAATTTAATAACACATGCCTGATAAATCGGTTGAATTGGTTAGTACATGTATCAGCAACTATTACAGTTATTATCGTTATTATTATTAAAGATGATACGAAAAATGTACAGGCAATTATATTTGCATTAAACGGTTTCATTCTATATCTAACGTTAGCAGTCAGAATTGTATTTATTTATAAGTTTATTTCGATTAATCAAGAATCTTGATAACTTTATCTTTATTGATTGATCAATCAGATGACATTTAACGAAGGCGAAATTTTTATGTTTCGTGATCAAATTTTTACTTTCTCTTGTGTCAATTTACAAAACAAATACAACAAAGTACAATTTAACAATTTACAAACTTTACATGTGTACCCAATAACCCTCACCCTCCCCCCCCCCAAAATAAATTCTAACTAATAAAAAATAAATTATGGAATTCGTTTCCACAAATCTAAAAACACCTGCCAACTTAAAAACTCGGCAGTTCCTGGAGAACAGCGTCGACAAATTTCTTCACCTAATCGTGACTTCATCCTATTTCGTTCATATCCTGCCACATATTCACCACGCTCAATTTTACAGACGATCGCTGCCGCCTCGGTAATTAACTTTTGCCGAGGATATCCTTCGTAGAAAATTTGCACAGTTTCAAGTGGTGGTAGCTTATGTGTTGTATGTCGATTGGACGTCGTTACCATCGTTGAAGAGTCGGAAAATGTGGTTTTCGAACTTAATTCCGAAGTCAAAGAATTATGGTTGTTATGCGTCGTCGAAGATATACGACGATTGGTCATAAATTCGATTCCAACTTTCACGCTGCAACATCCAAAACTTTCTGCTCCGGGAGACTTTACATCCTCTTCGATTTTGAGAACTTTGGCTTTTAGAAAGGTCGATGTGCTTTTTCGTATAGATTCCAATCTACGCTTAATTTTTTTGGATTTCTCGCTCGAAGTCGAAATAGTTTCAGGTTGGTGAGGATAAAATGAAGTGGACTTCCGTTTCGAATTTTCTGATCGTTTAAAACAAGCAAAACAAGATACCGTCTTGCTCTTCCTCTCATCTTTACTATTATCGTTATTATTTTTATTATTTCGATTGCGCCTATGATTATAATAGTTGTAATTTTTATAATCGTTCTCTTGATTATTAGCTGACATATTATCAAGTTTTTTTTTTAACTCTTGAAATTTTTATATCTTATATATATATATTATAGATATATTATCGAAGGCTTGCGCGAATCAAATCAATTGTTCTTTCACGATAGCAAGACACTGGAAATTATATGAAAAAGTACCGAACCAGCGGTGGTGGGTTAAACAGCAGAAAAAACAAAAAAAAGTTTTTTTTACATAAAATAACTAACCACACAAGAGAAATACTCTTTTCACTGACACACAGTATTTATATTTATTGATGAAAGACGGCACAAACAAAGGTTATAAAATTACAAATAGGGATTTTTTCCTGTTTTAAAGAGACTCCATGTAGATTGTTGAATAGGATTATTGGTTCATTAGTACTTAGTTGTTTCACTTATCACTTTAACAATGAATACACAAAAAATGCAAACAATCTTTAAACTAATGTAAATAAGTAAATGTATATGGTCACCAGTCCTCTCCTTATAATGCTGCTGTGCGAATTTGTGCATGCATGCAACGTTTGGACAATTAAGTGTATGATCCTAATATCGGATACCGATACATGTATTAATTATTATCGCTAATAAATAATTCCATGTACTCGTATTATATTTGTTCTATTGTTTCCCTCGATCATAGACATACACAAATTCCACGTGCCTTTGATCACCTGGAAGCTAAATTTTTATTTTTTTTTTTTCACAACAATTCGAAAACGTTCCTAAATAGCTTACATATTGTCTATGATATAATACGCGATTAAATATAGATCCAAGCGTATTCAGCACTCGTTGTAAGTATTACGTATATCGTAGTTAAAGAATATAAAACGCAATAATACTTAATGTCACGGAACGGGAGTGGAGTGTCAAAATATTGTGTTTCAGATTCGCCGTAACCTAAAAAAGACTGTTATAACATGTAAAAAAGGAAATTCAGCGCAGAAACTTTACCCGTTTTAATGAAACAATGGATGGATTTTTTGGATTTTTTTAATTCATTAGCTTTTTGGTGAATCTATGGAGATCAAATTCCGAATGAGAAATACGGTTTTGCTATTATTGAAGCATCCCCATTGAAAGAATTGCTCCTAAAATTAACGGGGTTGATTTTGGTTTTATTTGAATAAATTCTTTACTTCAAATCAAAAAATATTTGCATACAATGTACACGGTGATCTTTTTCATTGCTATTGCTATACATAATTTCTATGTTCTTTGCTTAATAAGGCAAACAGTATTTAATAAATTGATCAAATGCAAGCCTGGAACGCGAACAGATTGAGGAGTAAACAATTAACCGATATTAGGGGTGAATAACAATAAATTGATTTTCCCTTTGCAATGAATTGTAAAAATTATCCGATACTTGCTTGCATATATCGTTCATTGTTGATGTTAATTTGAATGTGTATTTACATACATATACATGTACATGTATGTGTGTGTATGATCTATTAAAACTGCTGACATGGTTTTTAATTGAACATACATGTAAAATAGCATCTATAAGAAGTGAACAAATTTGGAAACAGCCAGCCATAAAAAAAATTTAGATATACATGTACATGTAATATCATTTACATGTGCTAAATTTCCCCAAATGGAAAATCTCATCGCTGATTGGAGAAACATAATTTTATCTCAAATTTTGTCCAATGAAAAACTGGGGGGAAATTAGCAAATGCGATACGACGTAGAACTGAGCTAATTGTGGTGGCATTCCCCAAATTTCCTCGATATGTCTAAACAAAAAAACCGCTGCAATCGGTACGAATAAAATGCCGTTCCGTAATAATATTTATGTTGATTTTTCACCATTCTCTTTATAGTCCCCGAACCAAACTCACGCTCTTCCACGTCACGATTTTCCCGACAACACTAAAGACCTATCGAGAGAAGATACCCAAGAAGAACATTGGCAAGATAAAAAACATCTTGTTCATCAACGATCCTAAAATCGCTATAGCATTAATGTATGTATGGTGATACTGAAGAATCTCATGTTGGATCGCATTAAAAGATAGAAAATACAAATAAATCATTGCTGAATTGAAAAGGTTTGCTATTATAAGCTTCTTTTATCATCATATCATACAAACAAATTATATACTAGTACGCGTGAAGAATATCCCTTTCTATATTTTTCTATTTAAAATCTACGACCTTAACATTTGGGGGAAAATCTCGTAACGGTATCCATTTTCGGAAACCATTTAAACGTGTTGATCGCTTCCAATAGAGTATTTTATTTTTGGACATTTGGACTTTCGGACTTTCGGATTCTTGGACTTTGGGACATTTAGACATTCGGAAATTTGTATTTTTGGAATTTCGGACGTTTGGTCCTATGGACACTTGGACATTGAATATTGGACATATGAACATTTGATAGACTTTTGGACTTTTGAACTCTGGACGTTTGGAATTTTGGACATTCGGCTATTTAGACTTTTGGATTTTGGACACATTGATATTTGGACTTTCGGATTATGTTCAAATCTTTAAATTGACCCAATATTTTTTGGAGATTTTGGACATATGTTCAAAAGATCAAATGCCCAAAATTATGATGTCCAAATCGTAATAACGTGATAATGCAAGGGACGTGCCATTTATCACAGTGAAACAAATCGAACTTTATATTATAAATCTTTAGATAAATTATAAAATATAGTGAAATTTAATTATTTATTTATTCGATAAATCGGCCAATTGCTGAAGTACCGATTCGGGCTTATTTATTTTATTTCGATTTATCAAAATTATTTTAAATCGGCTCAATATAAATATAAAATAATATGGCTTGTTTATAAAAATTTCCCAAATCCTCAACCGAATCATTTGATCCCATTGACACGTGCTATAATTCATAACAATAGGGCGCTTTTGTGGGAATTTTATACTTTCATCAAATCACAAAGACCAAACTAAAAAATGGAGCAACAACCCAGAGTCTCTTTGTCGCGCGAAATTTATATTGGCACCACTTTACAACGTGCTTTATATTATGTTCTAACGGCAATTCTCGGATACTTATTGTTGGCGTTGTTGTATGCGAGTGTTTTGCAAATTCTGAAGTTTTATCATGAAGTTGGGAAGGCGATATGTCACTGGTTTAACAATTAGGTTAGCATGAACAACTCCCCTAAGCAACTAAATTCATAATTAATGCAACCATTTAAAAAACTTTTGAATGTATGCTTGCAATAATACTATCACAAAAATTTTACTTCAAAAAGGTGAGCCTACAATTTTTTTTCCCTTATTCCAATAGTTGTTATCGATTGGTAACGTCAAAACGGATAATACATAAGCACTTTGCAACATGAGATAACATCATTATTATTGCTGTGCCTATTTAGAACTTCGAAATGGGGACATTATACCTGTTTTACACATGTAACATGTACATACATGCACGTACATGCAATTTCGCACATGTATACTTTAGTAAATAGGTAAAATCTATTCAATTTCATAAATATCATTTAATTAAACACTTTGTTCGAACTAAAATATAAAGACAAACGATGGAATATTTCTCAAAGATTGTGGTTATCACCAGAAATAACACTGACAACATATTTTATCCTTCATGTTACAAAACTCGTGATTCTCAAGATATGCTTGCCAACTTTGTCTGCTGCTAAAGACTATTGTGGATTATCAAATAATCGGTTATTATAAAAAATATATCTTCAAAAACAGCTTTTAAAGTGATGAACAAGCATATCGAGATATTATTTTTTGCCATCACTATCATCTTTGCACTAAAGATTGCCATATTTATCCAATATAGGATTAATATTTGAATTTTAACATTTGGATTGGACTAAATCCAAGATATCTTGTACAAAATTAGTTCAAATATCTAGTATAATTTGATTAAATTTTTTGAATATTTTGAGATATTTGCTTAAATTGTTATATTTAATAATAAATTTATCTATTTTATTAAATAAATATATATTTATCTCTATAAAATATAAAAAAATAATTAGCAAAATTCAAGTAATAATTATATTTATATAATTTTAATTAATTCTGAAATTAAAAAGTAAAAAAAGTAAGAGACTTGATAAAATAGTTATTTAGTTATAATATAAATATTATAAATATAAAATAAAAACTTTATAAAAAATTAGGATTATTAATTAAGTGTTTTAATTTATATTAAATATATAATTCAGAACTATTTCAGAATGGATTATATATTTTAATATAAATTGAAATATATTATTAATAATTCTAATAAAAAATATCAGATTTTTTATTTATAAATTTAATAATATTATTTTTCTCTTTGATATATCAAATATAATAAATTATAAATCAAGAAAATTAAATAAAAAATAATTAAAAAGATATATTTTGAATATATTATTATAATAATAATATTAATTTAATTTATATACAGTGGCAATCAAAAATAATGCAACGCTTAAATTTTTTACTAATTATAATTAGTAAAATATGTATTTTTC